ACTTTCAGATGACAACGGTAATAGGTCAGTTGTTGTAGGCTATTACTTGTGCGCCACATCTGAGCATAAATTGAAATAAATTGTTTTTTTATTTCACTGGACTGATGGTGATATCTCAGTGGAGGGAGGTAGTCGAAGTGGAGAAGCGTGTTTTTAATGATTTCTAAAAGTGTTGAATAAAAACAGCGTTGTAGTGCTTGCTTATCATTGTCTCTGAATGTACTGAAACTGTCTTTAAGGCCCTCGATTAGATCAATGCAATCAGTAATTGATATAGAGGGGGACTGGAGGCCCTTCATGGCGTATTAACTGATATAAAATAACTTGGCAAATGCTCCAACATCCTCTTCTATACACGGTCTCCTGATTTTTTTACAATTTATATTTAGGTGCAGAAACTCCTCAATTATTTTGAGCTAATATTCTATAGGAAGTGCAGGAACTCAAGCAGAAGAAAATGTAAGATGCCAGTACTCTGTTCCGGTGAGCTCCTGCCCAAGTCAAGCAGGCAAATAACATTTAATTTGATGTATTTATTCATCACTGCTACAGTTATTATTGTGTATATAGTACTATTTCTATTTTCCTTATGACCATTTGCATTATTTTATTTCACTTAGTCCTGCATGTTGGAGCTCGGAGCTCTGAATCGGAAGATCTAGTATTGTACCCTGTCACACCCTGGCTCTGGGGACTCTATATGTTGAGCCAGGGTGTGGATATTCTATGTATTGTATTTCTGTGTTGGCCAGAGTGGTTCCCAATCAGAGGCAACGAGTGTCAGCTGTTGCTGGTTGTCTCTGATTGGGAGCCATATTTATAGAGGCTGTTTTCCCACAATAGTTGTGGGATCTTGTTCCTTTCGGTGTGTTCCAGTTGGTTTGTTCCTTTCGGTGTGTGCCGTGTTTAACATAGGACGTCACGGTATCGTTTATTGTTTTGTTGTTCGTGCATTCATTAAATAAAGAAGTATGTTCGTTCATCACGCTGCGCCTTGGTCCACTCAGTCTAACGATCGGGACAGAAGGTTCCACCATACCAGGACCAAGCAGCGTGTCCTGGAACACACGCAGGAGGTGACTCTTGTGGATGTCCTCCTCGGTTGGGGGCAGATTACTGAGGAGGAGGCCGTCCGGTACCGGAAGGCGATAAAGGGGGAGACCCAGGCAGGAGAGGAGAAGCGGCGTCAACCGGGCCGTGGTCGGACAGGCGAGAGGCAACCCCAGAAAATTTTTAGGGGGGGGGCACACGGCATGGGCGACTGGGCAGCAGGAGGCTGCCACAGGGCGAAATGGGAGAGTAGGAGAGGAGGCCACCAGGTTTGGGGGGCCAGAAGGCAGGTTGGCGGAGCCTGGATGGAGAGCAGAGCCAACTTCCCGTACTCAGGCATGGCAGCATGAGACTGGGCAGGTTCCGGGGTATGCGGAGCTGCGTACTGTGCCACGAGTGGTCCGGCATAGTCCGGTACGTCCTGTGCGAGCACCCCGCACGTGTCGTGCGAAGGTGGGCATGCAGCCAGGACGGAGTGTGCCGGCTCAGCGCTCGTGGCCTCCAGTGCCTCTCCTCGGTCCCGGATATCCTGCGCCAGTGTCACGTCCTGCTCCTCGCACCAAGCCTACGGTGTGCGTCGCCAGCCCGGCCCGGCCTGTTCCTGCTCCTCGCACCAAGCCTACGGTGCGCGTCGCCAGCCCGGCCCAGCCTGTTCCTGCCACTCGCACCAAGCCAGGAGTGCGAGTCGTCAGCCCGGTCCGGCCCGTTCCTGCTCCACGCACCAAGCCTACGGTGCGCGTCGCCAGCCCGGCCCGGCCTGTTCCTGCTCCTCGCACCAAGCCTACGGTATGCGTCGCCAGCCCGGCCCGGCCTGTTCCTGCTCCTCGCACCAAGCCTACGGCGTGCGTCGCCAGCCCGGCCCGGCCTGTTCCTGCTCCTCGCACCAAGCCTACGGTGCGCGTCGCCAGCCCGGCCTGTTCCTGCCACTCGCACCAAGCCAGGGGTGCGAGTCGTCAGCCCGGTCCGGCCCGTTCCTGCTCCACGCACCAAGCCTATGATGCGCGTCGCCAGCCCGGCCCGGCCTGTTCCTGCTCCTCGCACCAAGCCTACGGTGTGCGTCGCCAGCCCGGCCCGGCCTGTTCCTGCTCCTCGCACCAAGCCTACGGTGCGCGTCGCCAGCCCGGCCCGGCCTGTTCCTGCCACTCGCACCAAGCCAGGGGTGCGAGTCGTCAGCCCGGTGCGGCCCATTCCTGCTCCACGCACCAAGCCTACGGTGCGCGTCGCCAGCCCGGCCTGGCCTGTTCCTGCTCCTCGCACCAAGCCTACGGTGTGCGTCGCCAGCCCGGCCCGGCCTGTTCCTGCTCCTCGCACCAAGCCTACGGTGTGCGTCGCCAGCCCGGCCCGGCCTGTTCCTGCTCCACGCACCAAGCCTACGGTGCGCGTCGCCAGCCCAGCCCGGCCTGTTCCTGCTCCTCGCACCAAGCCTACGGTGCGCGTCACCAGCCCGGCCCGGCCTGTTCCTGCCACTCGCCCCAAGCCAGGGGTGCGAGTCGTCAGCCCGGTCCGGCCCGTTCCTGCTACACGCACCAAGCCAGGGGTGCGTATCGTCAGTCCGGTACGGCCCGTTGCTGCTCCACGCACCAAGCCAGGGGTGCGCATCGTCAGCCCGGTCCGGCCCGTTCCTGTTCCACGCACCAAGCCAGGGGTGCGCATCGTCAGCCCGGTCCGGCCCGTTCCTGCTCCACGCACCAAGCCAGGGGTGCGCATCGTCAGCCCGGTACGGCCCGTTCCGGCTCCACGCACCAAGCCAGGGGTGCGCATCGTCAGCCCGGTCCGGCCCGTAGCTGCTCCACGCACCAAGCCAGGGGTGCGCATCGTCAGCCCGGTCCGGCCCGTCCCTGCTCCACGCACCAGGCCAGGGGTGTGCGTCGTCAGTCCGGCACAATCTGTGCCTGGGTCACCGGTGCCTGGTCAGGTACCGGTCAGCTGCTCCACACCGGAGCTGAAGCAATCCGCTTCTACGATGTCCAGTCCAGCTCCAGCCAGCGGGGCCAGACCGGACCAGGGGCGCCATGGGGGGATGGTTGAAGGGTGGTGGTCAAGCCCTGAGCCGGAACCGCCTCCGAGGAGGAATGCCCACCCAGCCCTCCCCTGGTTTGTTGATGTTTAGGCGCGGTCGCAGTCCGCGCCTTTAGGGGGGGGTACTGTCACACCCTGGCTCTGGGGACTCTATATGTTGAGCCAGGGTGTGGATATTCTATGTATTGTATTTCTGTGTTGGCCAGAGTGGTTCCCAATCAGAGGCAACGAGTGTCAGCTGTTGCTGGTTGTCTCTGATTGGGAGCCATATTTATAGAGGCTGTTTTCCCACAATAGTTGTGGGATCTTGTTCCTTTCGGTGTGTTCCAGTTGGTTTGTTCCTTTCGGTGTGTTCTGTGTTTAACATAGGACGTCACGGTATCGTTTATTGTTTTGTTGTTCGTGCATTCATTAAATAAAGAAGTATGTTCGTTCATCACGCTGCGCCTTGGTCCACTCAGTCTAACGATCGGGACATACCCAATCACAATTTTAACTCCGTCTCCCTCTCTCTCTTTGGCTCTCTCTCCCCCACAGCCCACAGGCACACAATATAGTTTTTACATTAGTGTTGTAATGATTATCTTATTTGGTTACATACTGTATGTGTTAACTTCTTGTAACTTCTATTGTCAATTCTGTTAATTTGTTTTTTAATGTTAGCAATTTGAATACATGTATTTTATGTACAAATGTGGGGTTTTCTCCACCCTGATCTAGGCAGAACACATTGAGAGAGTGGTGGGAAAGTGTAAGAAGGTGCTAAATGTGATGCACTGTCTGATGGGGAAGGAGTGGGAGGCTGGGCGTTCCTCATTGAAGACCATGTATGTTGCATTGATCCGATCTGTAATAGACTATGACAGTATAGCATATGTATTTGCTCTGATTCATGTGCAGTGTTAATGAGTCTCCAGTCCTTTAGCTCACGTAGCAGACAATACCTGCTTCATGAGGTGCTACAAACCCATGGCAGGATCAAACAGATGGGTATACAGATAAGATTTACGTGGGTCCCAGCCCATGTGGGGGTGGAGGGGAACGAGGCAGTAGATGAATTGGCTAAACAAGCACTTAGTAGTGGGGATGTTTAAGTTTCAATGAGCAAGGCCGAGGCTAAAATACTGATATATACTGTGATGGTGCAGAGATGGCAGGAGCAGTGGAATAGAGATAAGGGAAGGCATTTATTTATAATAATAATAATATGCCATTTAGCAGACTCTTTTATCCAAAGCGACTTACAGTCATGCGTGCATACATTTTTGTGTATGGGTAGTCCCGGGGATCGAACCCACTACCTTGGCGTTACAAGCACCGTGCTCTACCAGCTGAGCTACAGAGGACCATTTCAAGTACAGAGGAAAGTTGGGGAGGGGAGGACGGCAGGAAGGGACAGAAGAGAGGAGGCTATTTTTACAAGATTAAGGGTGGGACACAGCCAGTTGAATAAGACATTAAATGTGATAGGAAAGCATCCAACAGGAAAGTGTGATTATTGTCATGAAACAGAGACCATGGAGCATGTATTGCTACAGTGTGGGCAGTATCAGAGGGAAAGAGAGAGGATGAGATCTAGTATGAGGGAGAAGGGGATACAGGAAATTAGTTTAAAGAGTATATTGAGTAGAACGTCATTAGATATAGTCTCAAATATTTTGTTATCTTTTTTAAGAGCGACTGGGCTGGCAGGTAGGATTTAGTTTCTCCCTGTCTCTGGCCCACACTCCAGTACAGTAGGTGGCGATAATGCACCATAACGTTGGATGCCAACCGCCGATAAACCCCACTGAAGAAGAAGAAGAAGACTTCACTTGTCTGCAGCTCTGTGTGAATACTTGCGCTGTCGGGGTGAAAACGAAAGAGGTAATTCGGTTCTAGGAGCTACACCGAGCGGTTTCACAAAAATACTTTGATTTTGCATACAGAAAATGGCGGTTCCTGCAGGTGCAACTGTGCAGATGAACACAGAAACGCAGAACGATCTTGCAAATCCATCTGAAAATGACATTCACTTTGACGAGAAAGAATTGGAAAACATAACAAATCACGTCGAAGATGGCACAACACTGCCCCTGCACTCTCCGTGGACATTTTGGCTTGACAGGTAACGTAAACATACGAATGATAACCTAAATGTAGTTAACGTTAGCTAGCAACACAATTATCTAACGTTTAGTACAACGCAAATCGTGTTTTAGATACAAAAGGAGTAAGACAACCGACAACATCGATGTGTCGGCCTTACACAACTGTTATAGCTAAGTAAGCAAGCTAGAAGAAAAGAGGGTCTTCCAGATACAGCTAACTACGTTAGTTCGATTGTTCCCACCCCAGCTAATTTACCGGTATGCTATCTTGCTCAGCGTGAACGTTTACCTATGATATTTTGTAACAACAATGTATTGTTCGTGCCTTTTCTAGCTAACTATCCAAGAAGTTGTGATGCTAACTATAGGCTTCCTGACTACCTTGTCACAACTGGTTGAAACGGCAGCAGACAAAGCTGCAACATTGTTGCAAGCTGTATCAGATTCAGGCTACATTCTATCTAGTCTCGCGCTGTCAGAAGTGATCACCTCGTATTCTACGGTCGATAGCTCGAGGCTACAGTCTTGCTGGTAGCCTGGCATTCTGTAGGTAGTCTGGCATTCTGTAAGTAACCTGATTTTAAGAAGGCTACTTTGAGTAACAACATCTCGTGACTTCTGGACTAATTTATTGGAAAAGTCAGCTGTCCAAGTTACATTTTAATCGAAGTTCAGCAGATAGCAACTTGTCAGGGAAGTCAGGAACCAATATACACAATCAGTTAGGAAAGCAAAGGCTAGCTTTTTCAAACAGAAATTTGCATCCTGTAGCACTAACTCCCCAAAAAAGTTTTGGGACACTGTACAGTCCATGGAGAATAAGAGCACCTCCTCCCAGCTACCCACTGCACTGAGGCTAGGAAACACTGTCACCACCGATAAATCTACGATAATCGAGAATTTCAATAAGCATTTTACTACGGCTGGCCTTGCTTTCCACCTGGCTACCCCTACCCCGGCCACCAGCTCTGCACCCTCCGCTGCGACTCTCAGATCCACCTCTATGCAGACGACATATTTTGTATACATCTGGCCCTTTTTGGACACTGTGTTAACAAACCTGGCCCTTTTTGGACACTGTGTTAACAAACCTCCAAACGAGCTTCAATGCCATACAACACTCCTTCCGTGGCCTCCAACTGCTCTTAAACGCTAGTAAAACTAAATGCATGCTCTTCAATCGAACGCTGCTTGCACCCGCCTGCCCGACTAGAATCACTACTCTCGGCGGGTCTGACTTAGAATATGTGGACAACTACAAATACCTAGGTGTCTGGTTAGACCGTAAACTCTCCTTCCAGACTCACATTAAGCATCTCCAATCCAAAGTTAAATCTAGAATCCGCTTCCTATTTCATGCTGCTAAACATGCCCTCGTAAAACGGACTATCCTACCGATCCTTGACTTCGGCGATGTCATTTACAAAATAGCTTCCAACGCTCTACTCAGCAAATTGGATGTAGTCTATCACAGTGCCATCCGTTTTGTCACCAAGCCCCATATACTACCCACCATTGTGACCTGTACGCTCTCGTTGGCTGGCCCTCACTACATATTAGTCGCCAAACCCACTGGCTCCAGGTCATCTATAAATCACTACTAGGCAAATCCCCGCCTTATCTTAGATCATTGGTCACCATAGCAACACCCACCCGTAGTATGCGTTCCAGCAGGTATATCTCACTGGTCATCCCCAAAGCCAACACCTCCTTTGGCCACCATTCCTTCCAGTTCTCTGCTGCAAATGACTGGAACGAACTGCAAAAATCTCTGAAGCTGGAGACACTTATCTCCCTCACTAACTTTAAGCATCAGTTGTCAGAGCACCTTACCGATCACTGCACCTGTACACAGCCCATCTGTAATTAGCCCACCCAACTACCTCATCCCCATATTGTTATTTACATTGTTATATATTTGCACCCCAGTATCTCTATTTGCACATCATCTTCTGCACATCTATCACTCCAGTGTTAATACTAAATTGTAATTATTTTGCACTATGGCCTATTTATTGCCTTACCTCCATAACTTACTACATTTGCACACACTGTATATAGATTTTATATTGTGTTATTGACTGTACGTTTTGTTTTTGTTTATTCCATATGTAACTCTGTGTTGTTGTTTTTATCGCACTGCTTTGCTTTATCTTGGCCAGGTCGCAGTTGTAAATGAGAACTTGTTCTCAACTGGCTTACCTGGTTAAATAAAGGTGACATAAAAATAAATAGCCTTACCAAAACATTTGCATAATTGCAGTCAAAATGCAGTGAGAATGTTTTGTCAAGTTCATAGAGTGGGATCTACAAATGTGCGCCCATTTATTTTGATATTTTTTGTATTCAATAAGGAATTCCAGATATAGTTTTTACATCATCCTCTAATCGTAAAACATGGAACTTTACCTACCTACTATTTTCCCTGATTTTCTACATTGTCCTCCTGATCACATCACTGAATTTGTCTTGACTAGATATGGTTCAGTGCTAATGTTGGTTATGCAGCTCCAACGTGCTTAAGAAACGCCTTACTTTGATACAGGCTTTCTTTGGGAATGGGCATCGTTTTCAAGAAGCAGCTTGTTTGTGTTTCTCTTTTAGGTCATTGCCAGGGACAACAGCAGCAGAGTGCGAATCCAATCTGAAAAAGATCTACACAGTACAAACTGTTCAGGTGAGTTCATGTGGGGAACTTATGGATACCGTCGCAAATTACCTCTTCAAGCTATCTACTCCGATCCATAGGTTTACATTATTTGGGTCTGACTAACTACCACAACATACTAAGAGATCAGCAAGGCAGTATTTCCATTGGATTGAGAGAAATTATTTTTCTGTAAGCCGTTGTTAATTATGCATTGATTTGTCTCTGCTGATTTTCTCTGAGTAGAGTTTCTGGAGTGTATACAACAACATCCCTCCTGTGACTACCCTGCCTCTGAGATGCAGCTATCACTTAATGCATGGAGAGAGGAGGCCCCTATGGTAAGTCACCTTCCTTCATGGAAAATGTTTAAATCATTTATTTCATTTTTGGAAGGCTTTAGATTGTGGTTTCAATGGAAGGTTCCTTGGAAACTTTGTTACATAACCTCTTTCATGACTTACAGTGGGGGGGGGAAAAGTATTTAGTCAGCCACCAATTGTGCAAGTTCTCCCACTTAAAAAGATGAGAGAGGCCTGTAATTTTCATCATAGGTACACGTCAACCATGACAGACAAATTGAGATTTTTTTTCTCCAGAAAATCACATTGTAGGATTTTTAATGAATTTATTTGCAAATTATGGTGGAAAATAAGTATTTGGTCACCTACAAACAAGCAAGATTTCTGGCTCTCACAGACCTGTAACTTCTTCTTTAAGAGGCTCCTCTGTCCTCCACTCGTTACCTGTATTAATGGCACCTGTTTGAACATGTTATCAGTATAAAAGACACCTGTCCACAACCTCAAACAGTCACACTCCAAACTCCACTATGGCCAAGACCAAAGAGCTGTCAAAGGACACCAGAAACAAAATTGTAGACCTGCACCAGGCTGGGAAGACTGAATCTGCAATAGGTAAGCAGCTTGGTTTGAAGAAATCAACTGTGGGAGCAATTATTAGGAAATGGAAGACATACAAGACCACTGATAATCTCCCTCGATCTGGGGCTCCACGCAAGATCTCACCCCGTGGGGTCAAAATGATCACAAGAACGGTGAGCAAAAATCCCAGAACCACACGGGGGGACCTAGTGAATGACCTGCAGAGAGCTGGGACCAAAGTAACAAAGCCTACCATCAGTAACACACTACGCCGCCAGGGACTCAAATCCTGCAGTGCCAGACGTGTCCCCCTGCTTAAGCCAGTACATGTCCAGGCCCGTTTGAAGTTTGCTAGAGTGCATTTGGATGATCCAGAAGAGGATTGGGAGAATGTCATATGGTCAGATGAAACCAAAATAGAACTTTTTGGTAAAAACTCAACTCGTCGTGTTTGAAGGACAAAGAATGCTGAGTTGCATCCAAAGAACACCATACCTACTGTGAAGCATGGTGGTGGAAACATCATGCTTTGGGGCTGTTTTTCTGCAAAGGGACCAGGACGACTGATCCGTGTAAAGGAAAGAATGAATGGGGCCATGTATCGTGAGATTTTGAGTGAAAACCTCCTTCCATCAGCAAGGGCATTGAAGATGAAACGTGGCTGGGTCTTTCAGCATGACAATGATCCCAAACACACCGCCCGGGCAACGAAGGAGTGGCTTCGTAAGAAGCATTTCAAGGTCCCGGAGTGGCCTAGCCAGTCTCCAGATCTCAACCCCATAGAAAATCTTTGGAGGGAGTTGAAAGTCCGTGTTGCCCAGCGACAGCCCCAAAACATCACTGCTCTAGAGGAGATCTGCATGGAGGAATGGGCCAAAATACCAGCAACAGTGTGTGAAAACCTTGTGAAGACTTACAGAAAACGTTTGACCTGTGTCATTGCCAACAAAGGGTATATAACAAAGTATTGAGGAACTTTTGTTATTGACCAAATACTTATTTTCCACCATAATTTGCAAATAAATTCATTAAAAATCCTACAATGGGATTTTCTGGATTTTTTTCCCTCATTTTGTCTGTCATAGTTGACGTGTACCTATGATGAAAATTACAGGCCTCTCTCATCTTTTTAAGTGGGAGAACTTGCACAATTGGTGGCTGACTAAATACTTTTTTTCCCCACTGTAAGTGGCACAAACTAGAATCCTTTTGGCAAATTATTATAATTTCCTAGTTTTCGCTGCCTGAGACGAGAGGTTTTGGTTGAAAACTCATATGTTAGTGTCAGCCTAAGTGCTGATCTCAAATGTTACTGAGTCTTAATTCTTTACACTCCAACAGGGAAGAAGAAAGTAACGCAAAAGGTGGAGTCTGGAAGATGAAAGTACCAAAAGAAAGCACTGTATGTGTTAAGAACCTTCACTCATCCTTAATACATCTCGAATGAATGCCATATTACTCATTCACTGACTGAGTTGGTTCTATAAAACACTCACTGACTGAGTTGGTTCTATAAAACATTCATTATATTTTCACTCTCAGTCTGCAGTTTGGAAGGAGTTGTTACTTGCCACGATTGGAGAGCAGTTTGCCGATTATTGTGCTTCAGGTGAGACCCGACTTTCAAGTCAGTACATGATGTTGAATGTAGTGCTTGAGGGGTTGAGTGATTTGTAGAATTACAACATGAGGACTCCATCATGGCCAGACACTATGGGCCCTATTTTAGTTGTATCCCTACTAAACTTTCCTCTTAAATTAGCAAATGAACCAATTTATTGTTAAATTATCCCAAGCTGATTATGACCCTCTGGCACTAATAATAGAATATGAAGTGACTATATGAGGTAGTCGAAACATGTACCATTTACAGTGCCTTCGGAAAGTATTCAGACACCTTGACTTTTTCCTCATTTTGTTACAGCCTTATTCTAAAATGGATTAAATAAATAATAATCCTCAGCAATCTACACACAATACTCCATAATGACAAAGCGAAAACAGGTTGTTAGAAATATGTGCACATTTTATTAAAAATAAAAAACAGAAATACCTTATTTACATAAGTATTTAGACAATTTGCTATTAGACTTGAAGTTGAGCTCAGGTGCATCCTGTTCCCATTGATCATCCTTGAGATGTTTCTACAACTTGATTGGAGTCCACCTGTGATTTGGAAAGGCACACTGTCTATATAATGTCCCACAGTTGACAGTGCATGTCAGAGCAAAAACCAAGCCATGAGGTCGAAGGAATTGTCCGTAGAGCTCCGAGGCTGGATTTTGTCGAGGCACAGATCTGGGGAAGGGTAGTAAAACATTTCTGCAGCATTGAAGGTCCCCAAGAACACAGTGGCCTCCATCATTCTTAAATGGAAGAAGTTTGGAACCACCAAGACTCTTCTTAGAGCTGGCCGCCTGGCCAAACTGAGCAATCGGGGGAGAAGGGCCTTGGTTAGGGATGTAGCTCAGTTGATAGAGCATGGCGTTTGCAACGCCAGGGTTGTGGGTTCGATTCCCAAGGGGGCCAGTATGAAAAATAAAACAATGATGTATGCACTCACTAACTGTAAGTCGCTCTGGATAAGAGCGTCTGCTAAATGACTAAAATGTAATGTAAAATGATAGGGAGGTGACCAAGAACCCAATGGTCACTCTGACAGAGCTCCAGAGTTCCTCTGTGGAGATGGGAGAACCTTCCAGAAGGACAACCATCTCTGCAGCACTCCACCAATCAGGCCTTTATGGTAGAGTGACCAGACGGAAGCCACACTTCAGTAAAAGGCACATGACAGCCCACCTGGAGTTTGCCTAAAGACTCCTAAAGACTCTCAGACCATGAGAATCAAGATTCTCTGGTCTGATGAAACCAAGATTGAACTCTTTGGCCTGAATGCCAAGTGTCACGTCTGGAGGAAACCTGGCACCATCCCTATGGTGAAGCATGGTGGTGGCAGCATCATGCTGTGGGGATGTTTTTGAGTGGCAGGGACTGGGAGTCTAGTCAGGATCGAGGGAAAGATTAACGGAGGAATGTAGAGATCCTTGATGAAAACCTGCTCCTTAGCGCTCAGGACCTCAGTCTGGGGTGAAGGTTCACCTTCCAACAGGACAACGACCCTAAGCACATAGCCAAGACAATGCAGGAGTGGCTTCGGGACAAGTCTCAATGTCCTTGAGTGGCCCAGCCAGAGCCTGGACATGAACCCGATCGAACATCTCTGGAGAGACCTGAAAATAGCTGTGCAGCAACACTCCCCATCCAACCTGACTGAGCTTGAGATCATCTGCAGAGAAGAATGGGAGAAACTCCCCAAATACAGGTGTGCCAAGCTTGTAGCGTTATACCTAAGAAGACTCAAGGCAGTAATCGCTGCCAAAAGTGCTTCTTCAAAGTACTGAGTAAAGGGTCTAAATACTTATGTAAATGTGATATTTCAGTTTATTTTTAATAAATTAGAAAATATTTCTAAAAACCTATTTTTGCTTTGTCAATATGGGGTATTGTGTGTAGATTTAATCCATTTTAGAATAAGGCAATAACTTAACAAAATGTGGAAAAAGTCAAGGGGTCTGACTACTTTCCGAAGGCACTGTATATGTACTGATTTCTATCTTTAGTTTTCCTTTTTGTCTTTACAGAGGATGAAGTGGTTGGTGTCAGTGTTAGTATTCGAGATCGAGACGACGTTGTTCAAGTCTGGAATGGAAACGCATCTCTTGCTAGTGAAGCGAATATCTTAGGGAAAGTCTATGAACTCCTCCCGCACATAACCTTTAAAGCAGTATTTTATAAATGTAAGTATGGTCTTTTGTTTTCATTTATTTTGTTTTGTATGATAATTACCCAGCTGAGTGCGGGCGGGCGGTGAATAGTTTGGCTGCTATGACGCTCTGCTAAATTATACCATGTCGCTATGTTTTGGTTTTGACGGTGGCATTATAGTCACACAAAATATTAATAATGTTGTCTGTATGCAGTTATATTTTTCAAGGTTATTGAAATTGAAAGATGTACGAAAGTGTCGATGCTTTACCATGCCTGCATATCTATTCCAATTTATCCACTTACGGAAAACACATCCCTATCAGCAAAGATGATTGAAAAATGTGCTATCCTGCTAGCATATATAAAAAGCAAAAGCGAGAACTGTTAGTTGGCGATGTTGAAAGTTGCTACCAAACCTGACTTTCTACTAGTGGTATTGACTATGTAGATACTAAACATAAATGATGGGCATTCTTTAATTTGAAGTAGCAGACACATAAAATCTTGCTAGCTATTGAGCTAGAATCCAATGCGATTTTCACACGCTTTTGGTTAGTTTCACCACTCTGCCTGCCCGCTCTCCATCTACATGCCCCCGGTGAGTTTTAGCCATATTTTATCCAAGATAAAATATTAGCTATAAATGTAAAGTCAAGGGTGTACATTGAATATGACTGTGTTTTCATCTTTCAGCTCACAGGGAACATCATGCCTTTGAAGGAGGACGTTCACGACATTAGCCTCTGATGCACTTTTTGATAGAGCTATATTCTCGCCTGGACTTAACCTGCTCTCTTCAACTTCATCCAAAATATAATTTTGCATACTGTACACCGAACCGAGGAAAACGTCATAGAATGTTATTGATATATATTTTTATAGATTCAAATGGCTGAGTTTGTCTGATGCCTTTTATCATTTTTTTAAATGTTAATTTGTTATTGAAACACAATTCTAAAGAGATTGTATCTTTAAAGTACCGGTAGGTCTTTTTTTATTTAGTCTGTCGTTTTAAAATTTGTCCTTAGTCTTAGTTCATGTAATTTCTGTATATGTCATGTTTCTTCTTTAGAATGATGCGCTCTATTGCTGCACTGTAACTGCCCTGTTCTCTGCCCAGCTTGGCATGCCATGGACCTCACAAGTGAGCGTTGATCCCTACTGTATCTATGGCCACACCACACCACGCACACCACCGACCCACAGTTCAATGGTTCTCACTACATTTTCCCACAGAGATATGTTGCTTGTTTATACAATGTATGTTTTTAGCTGTCTTGGAATTATGAATTGTTTGATCCATATATACTTTGACTAATTTGCGAAAAATCTAGTGTCCTGTAAGGTTTAGTATTTGTAGCTGTTGGCAGACAGTGTTTTCTTTTTGGCACACGCTCAATCGTGTCTCACCAATATTAACAGTAGAGTTGAAGTTAGAGACATTGCTCATTACTACCTGTAACATTTGAGTCAAGGTCCCCAGACATTCTTACACATTATGATTGATTGCAGAGCTGTTAATCTGCAATATATATGAACAGTGTTATACTGGTGTATTTGTTCTGTATCATAAACTTTTTTCTAACTTTAAAAGGATCAAATATTAACATTAAAAGTACTGTATAAATAGTGTATAGTACATTTAATTTAAACATTTCTAAAAGTGTGGCAAATGCATTCTTTGGAAGTATGTTTTGGGTGAATACAATAATAGGATGTTACTATTTACCATACTGAAACAACAATAAAATTAGTTTCTCTGCCCAATATAAGAATAAAAAAATCCCATGCTACTGTCACCAGAACACAGGTGCTGGTAATATACACTATATATACAAAAGTATGTGGACACCCCTTCAAATTAGTGGCTTCGGCTATTTCAGCCACACCCGTTGCTGACAGGTGTATAAAATCGAGCACACAGCCATGCAATCTCCATAGACAAACATTGGCAGTAGAATGGCCTTAAGAGCTCAGTGACTTTCAACATGGCACCGTCACAGGATGCCACCTTTCCAACAAGTCAGTTCGTCAAATTTCTGCCCTGTTAGAGCTGCCCTGGTCAACTGTAAATGCTGTTATTGTAAAGTGGAACCGTCTAGGAGCAACAATGGCTCAGCCGCGAAGTGGTAGGCCACACAAGCTCACAGAACGGGACCGCCGAGTGCTGTAGTGTGTAAAAATCGCCTGTCCTCGATTGCAACACTCACTACCGAGTTCCAAACTGCCTCTGGAAGCAACGTCGTCACAAGAACTGTTCGTCGGGTGCTTCATGAAATGGGTTTCCATGGCCGAGCAGCCACACACAAGCCTAAGATCACCATGCGCAATGACAAGCGTTGGCTGGAGTGGTATAAAGCTCGCCGCCATTGGACTCTGGAGCAGTGGTAACGCGTTCTCTGGAGTGATGAATCACCCTTCACCATCTGGCAGTCTGATGGACGAATCTGGGTTTGGCTGGTGCCAGGAGAACGCTACCTGCCCGAATGCATAGTGCCAACTATAAAGTTTGGTGAAGGAGGAAAAATGGTCTGGGGCTGTTTTTCATGGTGCGGGCTAGGCCCCTTAGTTCCAGTGAAGGGAAATCTTAACGCTACAGCACACAATGACATTTTAGACGATTCTGTGCTTCCAACTTTTTGGCAAAAGTTTGGGGAAGGCCCTTTCCTGTGTCAGCATGACAATGCCCCCGTGCACAAAGTGAGGTCCATACAGAAATGGTTTGTCGAGATTGGTGTGGAAGAACTTCACTGGCATGCACAGAGCCCTGAGCTCAACCCCATCGAACACCTTTGGGATGAATTGGAATGCCGACTGCGAGCCAGGCCTAATCGGCCAACATCAGTGCCCAACCTCACTAATGCCTTGTGGCTGAATGGAAGCAAGTCCCCCGCAGTGTTCCAACATCTAGTGGAAAGCCTTCCCAGAAGAGTGGAGGCTGTTAAAGCAGCAAAGGGGAGACCCCATCCATATTAATGCCTATGATTTTGGAATGAGATGTTTGACGAGCAGGTGTCCACATACTTTTGGTCATGTAGTGTATAACTTCTATGTTATTTCTGTTTTGAATCCCACTATCTCAATTAAAATGAACTGTACTGATCACATTTTACATTAGAATTGTGCCTTCCGGTGCCCAGGGTCTCAGTCGTAGAATTTGGTTTTAAAAAGATTTGTTGTATTTGTTGTTCGAAGTACTGAAAAATAAAATGTTTAATTTGTGGGAATATTCCGATGCTTTGGTCCAGGCCCCATTATCTCCACCTACTGGTGACTTCTTGTCATCTTTCTCTTGCATTTTTGCAGCAAGTCACTTAATACAGAGTACTAACAGTACCACTGATACTCTGCTCAGTATCATCACCCCTGAAATAAACACTTATGTGGCAAAGTCCTATGCTTGTCCATATTTGTTCACACACTGCAAGCACTGGTTTGATCAACCTTGGCAGTAAAGAACAAGTAAAATATGAATATTATCCCCACAGGATGCCCGTTGTGAAATGTAGATGTATGTTGTCAATTTCCAGGCTTTGTGTTCCCTGTTGACAAATACAGTATGGACAGTTGAGGTGAAATGTCCTCAGAAGTCATTATCTGTGAACCCTCTCCAGAAGTGGCTTCCTTTCATTTCATGCAGAATGTTAGTAATCTGTTGTTCCTCTGTTGCTCATCATGCCCTCAGCAGCAGGGGAGAACATCATATGAAAGCCACCCCTTTTGGAAATTGAGAGTAGATTATTTTCATTTGCTTAATTACCTAATTAACAGAAAGCTAATTACTTTGTTGTGTGCATGAGTGCATATGGAGAGGGTGTTACATAACTGATAGTAATCCTCAATTAATTTGTTTTAAAGCAGCACTCTATCAAGTCAAGGCCTAATCCACAGCATATCGGCAACATCAAACCAACAATATGTAAAAACAATTCAGACAAAAACACTTTTGTTAGACACCATTGAGCTTAATATGCCCCATATTCAAATGCAGATATGTTTAGCTGACTTTGTAATTGTGTGTTATATTGTCTTTTAATGGATCAACATTTTTTATTGATTTCACTAATTGGAAGTTTGGCTAGAGAATTATATTTTTTGATTACATTGTATGATTACAACTTTGATGCAAAGTGAGAGGGGTGCTGTTGTTACTATAAATGTCTGCATTATTCACTGAACAAATATAAACGCAACTTGTAAAGTGTTGGTCCCATGTTTCATGAGCGGAAATAAAAGATCCCAGAAATGTTCCATTGGCACAAAAAGCTTATTTCTCTCACATTTTGTGCACATATTTGTTTACATCCCTTTTAGTGAGCATTTCTCATTTGCCAAGATAATCCATCCACCTGTGGCATATCAAGAAGCTGATTAAACGGCACAATCATTACACAGGTGCACCTTGTGCTGGGGACAATAAAAGGCCACTAAAATGTGCAGTTTTGTCACACAACACGATGCCACAGATGTCTCAAGTTTTGAGGGAGCGTGCAATTGGCATGCTGGCTGCAGGAATGTCCACCAGAGCTGTTGCCAGAGAATTGAATGTTAATTTCTCTACCATAAGCTGCCTCTTAATGTCGTTTTAGAGAATTTGGCAGTATGTCCAACCGGCTTTACAACTGCAAACCACGAGTAACCACGCCAGCCCAGGACCTCCACATCCGGCTTCTTCACCTGCGGGATCATCTGAGACCAGCCACCCGGACAGCTGATGAAACTGGGTTTGCACAACCAAAGAATTTCTGCACAAACTGTCAGAAGCTCATCTGTGTGCTCGTCGTCCTCACCAGGGTCTTGACCTGACTGCAGTTCGACTTCAGTGGGCAAATGCTCACCTTCGATGGCCACTTGCATGTTGGAGAAGTGTGCTCCTCACGGATTAATCCTAGTTTCAACTGTACCGGGCAGATGGCAGACAGAGTGTATGGCGACGTGTGGGTGAGCAGTTTGCTGATGTCAACGTTGTGAACAGAGTGCCCCATGGTGGCGGTGGGTTTATGGTATGGGCAGGCAGGCATAAGCTAC